GTATTGGGTAGGATTAGGGATGTAGAATAAGGTAATGTAGAATAAGGCATTAATATGTGCTTAATTACTACTAATAAATGGCTAATATTCTAGTAATATGCATGCTAATAAGCAACTAGTTAAGAGACCCTAAAATAAAGTGTTACCTTAAGTTCTACTTCTGTAGTTATTTTGGTGAAAGTAACTCAAAAGTAATACAGGAGTCATGTAACACATTACAATTCTGAGACAGTAATATTGTAAGGTAAGGAATTACTTTTAAATAACAGTAACAAGTAATCTATAATGTATTACAGTTTGGAAGTAACTTGCACAACAGTGGTCGTCATTAACATTTCTGTCCACGGACAGAAGTCTGTCTAATAATCAGATAGAACTGTTGAACAAAGGAAATAAAATGTATACAAAAAAGTATTATAATGATTGCTTTTATATTGTTAGTAATAGAAAGGCAAACATTATAATACTTTCTCGTTTGCCGTCAGCATTCAGCAAATACGCATTTATATCATTTAAACAAATCTTTAAATGAGTAATGAGCATCTAATTTAAAAAACCTTGAAAACTTAGTCGAATCCAGCTGTGAGATCTTATGAAGTGTGCATTTGTATCCTGCATGATCACGTGATCTCTGCGTGACGGTCGATCCGTGAGAATGTAATGTGGACTGGAGGAGAGTTCAGCTTCACTGAGACGCGCGATCGACAAACTTTAAACTCACGATTTCAAATTATGCTGTGCTTCATGCTTTTGCCCACTGTCATATTCATGTCGTTTTCACAGTGTGCTGTATGTAAAATGAGTGTTACCTTGGCTTTATTTGAAAAAATATGATTTCCAATGCACACAAACTTCCCAGAATACTGAGTGCCCTGTTGGTTACAGTGTTTACTTCCTTTTTAATGATATTTTTATTAAATATTTGTTTATTTGTGAAAAATACTTTGTCATTTAAAGTATAATCATGTTTATTTTACACATTATTTTTTTTAATCCATTTTCAAATTATTTCAAATTTCTTAAATATTAAATAAAATAATATCGGCCATCGGCCACCGGCCACCCTGCTTTCCAAGATATCGGCACCAGCAGTCAAAAAACAATATCGGTCGACCACTAATTTGTAACATATATTTAACTTGGAATACAATTATTAAGATGAAGTGTGTTTGATTTCATGTGCTGATTAGGACAGATTGGCTAAAAGGTCTAAATTCATAATGAAGGTGCACCAGAGTAACATCTACTGGAATTTAGACTTTAAGGTATTTTAAGGTCAACATAAATGAAGAGAAGCAATGTAAAAAATAATAATATACCACAATCACATGCTTTTTTTATCCAAATGGGATTCAATTTGTCAGAGGACCTCCAAGGTACTGATAACAGTAGTTAATTTGCTCTGTAATTTTCACCCGAGGTTGTATGAGAAAAACAGAAACATGTTTGATTCGGGCAGGATTAAAATCACAAAATATTTCTATGAAACACAAATTTGCCTAAAATCCTCAGGGAAAACTGGTCCCGTCTGAATAGGCTTTAGACAGCGAGCTGGTTGGCGTCAGATGAAGCATAACCCCAATGGATCGGCCAGGTTCGAGTGTCAGTAAATAGACTCAAATGACGTCTAAAAGTGAGCAGGTCATTGTGCTGGCAGTATGTGTGACTCTGTGGCAAAACTGTGGCCGAGAGGCAGTTCATCAGACAGTGTGGCAGCTTTTAATTAAAGAGCGGGTCACTGTAAATGATGACCAGAGGCTGTGATGAAAACGACTGTGCAGCAGCACCTCATGACGCACATTAGAGCCCTGTTTCCTTTATTCCTCTGTTTATCTTGCTTCCCCCCACCCGTCTTAATGTCTCAGTCACGCAGAAATCACATGCTACTCAGTCCAGCTCTGCTCTACCACCATTGAACTATAAATACTCAACGCCTCATGCTTAAAGCAAATCCATTCTCCTCAGAAGTTACGGAGGAGTTTGGTTTTCTGGAGAGCTAATTACAGCTTCAGCGTCGGTGATTAAACTCGGCCTCAGCTCTGATTGGCAGCCAGGAAATCTGTTGTCGTTTTCTCATGTTGGCTGAATGCTGGATCTTGGATTCATATGGGACTTCAGCATTAGAACAACTGCCGCCCACACAGAAAACCCAGACTTGACTTGACGAATGGGGTCCACTGTTTGACAAACAAAAGTGAATATAATTGCTCCTTTAATGGGCTGAACAATATTCATTACATAAACCTATGAGTGTTTCCTCCCTCTCTTTAATTGCTGGCCATTCAAATGACAAGATAAAAGAATAGCTGACTCATAATGAACAATCTGTTGTCATTTACTCACACTTCCTGTATGACCTTATTACTTCTATGGAATACAAAATGATTATAATCATTTTGAAAAATGTGCTGGACTTATTTATTTCATGCAGTGTAAGTGAATAGAAACTAAGGCTTTAAGCTTCAAAAAGAACAAAAATGTACCATAAAAGCATCACAAAAGACCATTTTCTATAATCTAATTATTATGAATGTGTACAATAGTTTTTTTTGCGAAAAACAAACCAAAATCTAAGATTTTGCTTGATTTAAATTATTATTGACTTCTCTGCATCAGTACTTTTTTTATTTAAAATGGTTTAATAAAAAAAAAAAACTTTTTAAGAATAATAAATATTTATAAAATTTAATTAAATAATATTTATATGTTATTTCTAAATTATAGATATGTATCATTCTAATTTCTAATTTATATAATTTAATTTATTAATATAAAATAATTATGTATTCTAAATATAACCTTACTTATTTTTTTGATCTTATTTTTATTTATAAGAGATAGAGAGAAACAGTCCACTTTGCAAGAGTTTCTGCTAAATTATTGTAATAAAGAAAAACATAAATTAAAAATATATGAATCCAAATCACATGGAACAACACCCTTACCTTCTCAGTCAATTACTGTCCGTCTCTGTCAAAACTGCATTTAATAGAAGCTCTAGAGGTTTTCTCCATTTCTGCACAAAGATATGAATCTTTCCCTCAACTCAGTGCCTCTGCATTAATGTAACTTTAATGTAACCCCTTCTTCATGTCAAGGAAAAAAATTGTCAATTTCTCACCCAAAGCTATTATATGGATTCAGAAGACTTGGAGAATTTTCTGAAAAGAACGAATAGCACGTAAAAAAAAAAAAAGTCTTCTTTTGCGTTCATGTAAAGACAAAAATGGAATGACATGAGAGAATATTTTCATTTTTAGGTATACTGTTCCTTTAAGAAAGTTTGAGCAGTATGTTCTCATGGGCATCTTTGTCCATCGCTATACCAAGACCATGTCAATGAACAGAATTTCATTTTTGTCAGGTGCTTCACTGTTCTGCAGCATTGATGTGAACAATTAATCAACCCTCAGGGTATGACTCCCACATCAGTACTCAGTACCCACATCATAATTCACTTAAGCGTCTTTTGGCCCTGGTAACAAATTATGCTTGTGTAAATATATAGAGTGAAGTATCCAAGGTCAATACTCTGCAGCAAGCCGCAGCTCTACCAGTGTGGAATTTTGAGTGGGCAGCGGCAGATGCGTTGCTGAGTGTCAGCCGCTTTCAAGCTAGCTATTTGGTTAGCGCTTAGTGCGCACAACCCCTCCCCTCTGCACAGGAGTCATTAATTATACCTCCTCAACCGAATTAGACATGGAGCGTTTTATCTTAATAGCTCTCTGCAAGTAAGCCTCCAGGATGGGCATTATACTGTTTTCATCTGGCGAAGGCGTTCTCATTCAATTCAGTTCCTCTCTGCCGCTTTTGAGGGCAGAAAATCTACTAAGGCTTGTCGCAAGCCTTTCCTCATCCTCCTGGGGCCTGAAGGTGAAGCCAGAGACCTCCGATATTGTGCGGCACTCATGTAATGACTCCCGAAGGGGGAAGACCTTGATTGGAATAGAAGCAGGTTGAGATCTACAAGCACAAAATCTATTTGCACCGTGCCCATGGAAATGCACAGCACGCAAACAATTAAAATGCTAATTTCCTATCCCTGTGGTAAAGTGCTAATGACTTTTCTAGTCATCCAGCTCCTAATAAATAGTTCCCAGTGACGGTTATAGGATGCAGTGTGGAAACCAGTTGAGGACAGATCTTTTTCCCATGTTCAGATCATTCCATATGTGTTGCATGCACTGTGGGTCAGTGGTGCAGATCAATACATACACTGCAAAGTCACTGGCAATAACATGTTTTATTTTATTTTATTGTTTGCTTTTTGTGAAATAGGGTAAAAATAAACAATATTAAAACAATCACTGTACACATTCATAGTATATAGAAGATAATTATTTAATGGTCACAAAGTAATTATTTATTCAAAGAAATACCTGTCAGACAGTATGTGATTTCGTCTTCATGAGAGAAGACTTTGGGAGGAGACAGGGTTACATATATATATATTAGTGCTGGGCAATGATTAAAATGTTTAATTCGCGATTAATCACATGATTTTCTGCGATTAATCGCATTGCTATGCACAAAATTCAATAATGAATTCAAACGTAGTGTATTGTGCACTTTTTTCATTTAAAAGTACTGCTATATGAACAAAAGTGCAAATAACATTTGGTTTGCAAACACTTTAAACAAATAAGGTGCTTTTTTATTACAGCAGTATTCCTATTACATAGTAGCAGTTAAAATATTTATTGTAAATCTCAACTTAAACATTAATGTAATCAATATAAAACCAAAGCTATTTGCCACTGCCAGGGCATTGGCGATTTTATAGAAAATATTTTATAGTTTGTTACAGAAAAACAAGTTATGCTCAGAGTCCAGAGCCTCGATCATGATATTATAACAGGCACCTTAAAGACCTGTGCTATCGCTGGACCACACGTGATGGGCGAGTGTGGGTGCGGGCGGGTAGAGACTCATATGTGTGGGATGCGGGAGAATAAGGGTGTACTCACACTAGGGAATCTTAACCATGCCCGAGTGCGTTTGACCCCCAAAGCCCGGTTCTTTTGACTAGTGTGATCGCTCTGTGCCGTGCTCGGGCTTGGTTCGTTTAGCCGTCCCTTGGGCGAGGTACACATGTAGTGTGAGCGCTAACCGCACTGGAGCACGGATCTTCTGATACTTGCAGCACGATTGCGTATATATATTGTGAGAGGTCCCAAACGATTAAAAATAATAAACCACAAAGTTAACAAAATGATGCACTCCACTGTGCTGAGCGAGAGCGCTTCTCTGCTGTCTTCACGTGCTATCGGAAACTTCCTATTTCCCTCTTATGAAGTCGTGATTATCAGAACGTTCAGAGCCAGTGAGCAACAGGCTTTCATAATAATAATAATTATTATTATTATAATAATAATAAACTGTGTTAATGCGCGATAAAATAATTGTCGATGTTAATTAATTAATGCGTTAATGCGATAATAACGCGTTAACTTGCCCATCCCTAATATATATACAGTGGGGCAAAAAAGTATTTAGTCAGCCACCAATTGTGCAAGTTCTCCCACTACGTTTTCTCGACTGGATAACCAGTCTCGCAAGTAAAGTTTTGATGGATGAAGACTGCAATCAAGGTAAAGATGATTGTGGTGGCGTACAGGAGTCGTACAGTAAGCACGCGTGAGTCTGTTATATTAATGCATGCATGAGTGCTCTTGACGCACTGATCGCACATTGCACAGGCACAGACATTTCCGTACATTCACGTTGTTTCCACACACATTCATGATAATGTTTTGATTTGTCATGTGTATGTTGCTGTTTTTAGTTATTCTGAATGGATCCGTGTACTGTAGTAGATATATGCAGTCAACAGGCGGTTGATTTCATTTTTTTTTTTTGGCATCTCCTGTTTGGTATCGCAACTTGACTTCTCTAAAATGTAAAAAAGCTCTTTTCTGTTGCACTGTACACATACTATTCTGATTCTGATTTTTTTTTCTTTTATATGTGCTTATATGGGCTCCTTATATCATTTGGTTCTTTGGTGTCCTTTTGGAGTTTGTAAGTGTCTTTTTTTGTAAAGACATCTAAATTTATCTTGAAAAACGCTTGCAGAAAATACAGATTTTTGAAAATCACCCTTCAATCTTTTGGTTTACTTTGCTGGATATAGCAAATTATGACAAAATTAACATCTGAAACAAGATACTGTAAATGGTCTATGCTTAATTTCATGAAGTGTGCTATTAATCGCGATTAATCACAGAAAAAGGGTGTGATTAATTAGATACAATTTTTTTATATATTGACAGCCATAATATATATATATAAACTATTTTGTATATTAAACAATATGAAATAATATAAATACAAATGATAAAACAATAAAACTATATATTTATAAAATAAAATATTTAAATATTTTTTATACATTTAATTGTCTTAAAAAGATAAAATAATTGAGAAATTTATGAAGCTCTGTCTCCTTACAAACTTCATATTTCTTGTGTGTTCCTGCAGGTGTTCATAGTGGGTGGAACTATAAACACTGTCAGGGGCCGTCTTATCAGCAAGGCCAGCACGTTATCATAAATAACTATGTCTGTTTGAGTGAACAGGAAATTGATTGTTTTTACAAACATTTGGTGATATGGCAGTTGTTCATTAGCTGTCAGATGCTCTGCTATCTGACAGCAGCAAGAACAAGAAACAGTGTGCCGTACCCTGCCTGACAGTAAGTAAAACAAAGTTCAATATATCAAACTACTGCTTGGCGAAAGAACGGCACTGCATTCTCAGAAGATGCACTTTAGCATCTTTCCCGACTTCAATATTGACATCGCCTATAGCATCGGTTTAGTATCTTGCTCACGTTTCATTGAGATTTTCTGTCAACAGCAGTGAGTTTACTGTCAGTATGGCACTGTTAGTCTCACTCAACTTCTTAATACATTTTTCCATTTTCCTAGGAGTTTTTCAGTTTCTCCTTTTTGATCTCCAATGAATTTAAACACTTAATAAATAAATACTTATTGTAATAAACTGTCTTCACAATATCTGCAACCATTTGGGCCCTTCAGATCAAATGATCAGAGGCCCCCTTAGTTAGTTTGTGTCTGTATCCACCATAACCCCATTTCACTTTCATGATAAACACAACTGAAGTCGAATGAAATAAGAAAACAAACTTACTTCTTCTCTATTAAAAGCAGTAATACAATGAGGACGACATTAAGCATCTTAATTTGGATTCTCTGCTCCATTGCTTCACAAAGCTCCCTTTTAATTATATTTATCTAATGAGGTCATTGAAATGCATAGGCACAGCCGGCTTGCTTTGCATAGTGGCGGGATGAGGCTGTTTTCATCACAGGCACTACATTGCCTGTGTTGTTTGATTAGATTTTGAGCGGCTCAAACACTATCATTACTTAGTGTCTGGAGCACAAGTGCCTTTCTTCATCAATTTAGTTTATCCAATTTCTTTGTCTTTTTCTCTCTCAGCTTTACAAGTCTCTTGCTGTTTAAGTGTCTTCTTGGTTTATGGATGGTTGCTAGAATATTCACTCTCTTTCACTTTGTTCATAAAAGCAAAGAACTTTTACACAAAACAGAAAGTAGATTTTCACAGTTAGATTTCAATGCCTCATGCATTGATTATTTATGTTTTGATTTTTAAAACCCTTTATTACTTTTTTTCATGAGCAAAGACATTCGAAATGGTTTTCACAAAGTATGGTGATTATACTATATATACACATATATTAGTGGTGAGACTTTCTGCAGGTTACACTGATATACCAGTAGGTGGCGACAAGTGATTGGCTGCATCCAAACCAAAAAATAGACAGATTATATAATATTTTTTCTTCTGAAGATTGAGATTCCGTATTGTGCGGTTTGTGAATGATTTTGTTAAGTGAAGCGACACAACTGACAGAAAGGGTCAGAACGCTTTTGGAATTCATCAAAAATATCTTAATTTGTGTTCCGAAGATGAACGAAGGTCTTACGGGTTTGGAATGACATGAGGGGTGAGTACTTAATGACAGAATTTTAATTTTTGGGGTAAACTATCCCATCTTGTTTAATTTGTTGTTGGGTAAAAGCAATATCACACTCCCAATCGTGTTCTATGTCTGAATATTTTGGCATGAAATAATAGCACTCTTGTTCAAGTCATACTGTTTATATTCAGTCTGAAAGACATCAGACATTCAATGTGTATATTTACAATGTAAGTACGTGTGTGAATGTATAGGTAACACTTTATTTTGATGGCCCCTTTTGAACATTCTGTTGACAATAAATAACGTTGCACGTACATGTCTACTAACTCACATTAGAGTATTAGTAGACTTTTTGCTTAATATCTGCAAACTCTTTATTGTGATGGTCTCCCAACAGACATTCTACTGACTATAAGTAACTTTGCAAGTACATGTCAACTTATTCTAACCCTAACCCTACCAGTCTACTAATACTCTACTAACACTCAGTTGAGAGTTAGTAGACATGTAGGTGCCACGTTACCTATAGTCAACAGAATGTGTTACAGGGACCATCAAAATAAAGTGAAACCAATGTGTACTGTGAAGTTTCAAGGACAACAAAGTTTCAAAAACAAATGCTCAAACATTTCCAAATAACGGATGAAAAACAGAGAGAGAGAGAAAGAGAGAGCTGAGCCAGAGGCCAAAAGTGAGCAGAATGAAAGCAAGAGAGAGAGAGAGAGAGATGTGTGCACGCTACACATGAGACAATGGAGAGAAAGTTAGATCAGAGAGAAAAAAGGGACCAGAGCTAGGCTTAGCAATTTCTGAGTTCTGTTCCATTAAGAATTAATGACTCGGTGCAGTTTCAACTCTAGGCAGTTCTTAGCATTTGCGCTCTGTTTTCATTGGCGAGCTCGCTGACGTCAGCCCACCCTTCCAAAACACACTGAATTAT